AATTAATTATTGACGTTTTTGAACCCATTTTGGCAAAACCTATTCAAGAATCTACTTTCTGACAATGTTCAACCATGCACATTTTTTTACGTTTTGAACGTTTTAATTTGGTTACATATTTACCTAGAAATCAAAAATATACTAATCAATATTCTAAAAGCAATTTTAAGAGATATACGATTATTTTTAATTTAGGCTAATTTAAACGCCATTTTGAGATTATATTCGACTGTATTTCACCAAACATCAGGCGGCATCCGAAGCTGGAAATCGAAGCGAAAATTTTGAAACCCTTATGTATATTTACATCATTATATATTTCTTACCCCACCCCCACATGATCCTATATCCATCACCAATCGTATACACATCGAATTGTGCTAATTTACTACAAAGTTACGCAAAGCAGCATCTACTATCTAAAATATGTACTGCGTGACTCTTAATACGTCCCTGCCGAATGTTACAGCGTTCGATGATCACGTGGTCTTGTTTATGTCCGGTCTATCTCTTATCTGAATATACTGCATATCAGTATCTTTACTTGACATTAATTTGAGCGACCTTAGAAAACGATACCAACCTGCTAACGAAGCCTGCCTCCAAGTTGGAGTCTTTCATTATTTCTTAACAAAGCAAAAACTGTAAACGACGAGTCCATTAATAAACTGACATAGCAAAAGACCGACTTATCCTGTAATTGGTTCGCGATAGAGCGAAACGAATAGCGAAGATGCTGCTGATATTTTGTCCTTATCGCGATGGATGCTGGAATAATTTTTCATGTGCTTCCGTTGCAACTTATAGAGCGCACTAATGAGGCTTCCGAGGTGGGTGAGGCCATTTTATCTGATTATATTCACTTCAGTTCCCTGGAAATACTGCAGGCAATTAATTTGCTACACAGAAAATAATGCATAACACAGACACGGTGAAGCGTTGCTCAAAAGACATTTAAAAATAAGCTTCTTTAGTATAAAGACATTGGTACTAGTAGATAGGGTTTTGGGACGGCATTGGAAGCTGAGCTTGACTGCAAAATGCCAACGACATTGAAGTTGTGCAATCTTCAATTTTCAAACGAGCTTGAAGCGGTGTGTGCTTGAAATCGCGAGACTTTTATACGTTGAGTGATTTGGCCGTATGACCTTGAAAATGTAGGTGACCTTGATTTGGGAGTTATGAGGATGTGAACGACCTGTGCTCATGAGATTTCTTGGCAGTCATGGAGGCCACTACCAACTCGTCTGCGGTGGTGTCGTCACTGACACACTACTATAGGAGAGACATTTGTATATTTTGGAAATATTCGAATATTAGGAGTACATACCATTGTAGCATAACTGTTTTTATATGTACACATACATTTTTCTGAATTTATGATCCTTAAATGCACCACCCATTCCGTCTAACCTCTAATTTTTCGTCAAGTAAATTGACTCAGTACTTATGGCGCATCGATATGCAACACATGCGGATTGACAAACCGACATAGATGAGAAGCACGGACTGATGTGATGCAGATATCTTTAAGCAACAAAAAACATGTAAAGTGGAGTTCGAATATTATCGCGAGCTCAATACTCCCATCGTTTAGGTGGTCGTAGATTTTGGAAATAAAATGGCTGTTTTTCGCATACTTGGTCTCAGAGAAATACCCCCTATTTTTCAGAACCTGCTGATTTCAATGATACTATGTACCTGCCAGTATTTCTCCTACATTTGCAATGAAAACAGAAATATGATAGATTTGTTTCATATATTTTGATATGCAGAGGTTAACGCTTCATCGTATCTAAATGAACTTACCTAAACACGATTATATTTCTCTTTAAAACGATTTGAATCGTCCCTTTTCGAGGAAACCTTCAACGGAGACGTAGGAATTATAGAGTCAATCTACTTGGCGCCATTTTTTAACTGAGAATCGCGGTCTTGAAGGTCAGGCTCAAGGTCAAATCCAAGGTCGATATCAAAATCCTTGTTTAACTATACGAAAGGTCTGACCACAATTATTTTGATCAATAACCGTACTAAACTTATAAAGCTGTTCCGTAGCTTCACAGATTTGAGGTGACCTATCTAATTTCTACCGAAATTGGAAGAAAATTTAAAGATATGTTGGATTTTTGTTTGTTTTAATTACTGTTGTTGATTTTTTATTCATGTTTATATTATTTTCTTCAATTGATATGCGATACTGGGTGTTTTTTTCCTATAAACCTCTTGCAGATAGCCATTAAGCACCTACTTGATGACAGGTTCTACCAAAAGATATTGCTCGTTTCCAAACATTCATTCATTTACTTGCCGTTCATCAGAACCATTATGGCATCTTAAATTGATATTCCCACAAAACCATTCAGGTTTTTTGATATCCATACATCCATAAAGTTGAATACTTTTCGTTGTTCAGGAACTGAATAAAAATCCACACTATATTCACAGCGATTAAGAAATTCCAAATATATGCCACCAAACCTAAAACCTGCAAAAAGACTACAAACTTGCCATATTTTTCTTTTTTCACGAGTACACATTCTAGGTTATATTTATATTAGACATTATTTGAATACAGCTGATTATTGCATTTCAAGGAGTGACACATGTGTGGGATGTGTCAACTCTTGGTACCAGTCACAAAACATATACTCCGAAGGTTTAATTCCATGCTATTCAATGACAACACGGTGACTTGTGTGGTTGTCAGCGGCTATTTTGTGATGGTGCGATAGGGTTGCCAGATTGTGCATTAATATCCCGTTTCACCCTCCTGGTCCCAGTTGAGTAAGTTCCGCCAACTGTTGAAATATACTCTACTATGCTTTATAAGACTATTCGTGACATTTTTCCTAAAATCATTGCACAATACTTGAAAAATGCAAATGAAAATTTAAAGTTATTTCCACGACGCCGCAAAATAGCTCCGTCGGTACCTTGGGTTATACATCTTGACAGTAGGGGTGTTCGATACGATCCTATATTTAGAAGTATCAATACGTTTCACGAGTATCGTCCTTTCCATCCGGACTGTGTCAGAAAGAGTGACTGCCATTTGGCTGCGACATTACCCTGCCAAATCAGACATATCTTTCATCATTTTCAAAGAAATTGTACAATATCTTCAAATTTGTGAAGTTCGCGAGTTTCACCTCATACGTTGTTACCAGACATGCCCAAATCATCAGTTGCTGCCGTGATATTCACCCCGACCACTGCATCCCGACGGCTAGGCGACCTGTATGTTAAATTTGTATTGATAGGGCAGCGGGTTATGTTATAAATCATATGTCACGGTGTTTGTGCACTGATTGCAACGGTTAGATGATACCAAAAATATTTTCATAAATAGGAGATCTTTCCCATTCCGGATCGAACAATCTACCAAAGACGCTTATAATCATGATACCTAGTAAACTTTCACGAAAAAAATTCAAAACCAGCAAATGTAAAATATTCATTTCGCACCCGTTAGACTTGGCAACCCTGCGAGTGACAGATAGATATCCCGCCGGTCAAAAAGAAAAACATTACTAGTTTTTATGGTGTTTTGGACTTAAAAGACATTATTTGTGAAACATTTTTAATAATTTTTTATTTATGTCTATAGTAATTGCGTTATGCATCAGGGAGATGTAGGGATTGACACGTCTTACACATATTATCTGTGTTTTAGGATGGAGAGGGCATACTGTTTTTATTGCTTTGAATAAATTCATTAACCCTCAAATTAATAAATGATCACTATTATGACGTAAAGGAAGATGAGGAATTGGATGGAATGTATTTTATATTCCATTTTCTTGCAAAATACAGACAAATCCACACTATTCAACAGGTATGTAATGATAACTTTCAGTATATTGAAGTTGGTAAATTCGAGAGTGCCATGCATGAACAAACGTCCAAATCTGCTGCCAAATTTAACAGCTAGAAAGTCGACCTATTATTTGCCGCATTCCCATTCGCTGAAGAGGATAACGGATTGTTAAATGTAAACCTATAACATATATCAAAATACATGAAAGTTGTCCTGTTTTTTCTGTACAAAAGCATCAGGTTGGAATCAAAAAGTGTTCTTGTTTATAATACAGTCGAATTTTCACGATTTTATTCAATATTTCAATAGACATCACTAATATTCAGAGACCTTTGACAGCTTCTGTCAAATTGCATTTCGATAAGGTATTTTCCCATTGGTTCATAATATTAATGTTGGTGAAATCGGTCCTAAAGATATCTAAAGGAACAGGCGCTCAGGTATCCATCGTTACACTTATTGAAGCTAGGAGAACAAATTATTGAAAAAGTGAAAGCTATACAGGGTGATTCACAAGTCATGACCAAAAATGAAGTATCATATACAGGACCGCATTTGAGCCCTAGAGGGCTTCATTAACAAGATACGGGCTTTTGAAGTTTAAAATAAAAAACTAATTAATCTAAGTATTGCCCACATTCAAAAAAAATAATAAGTTTGAAAAGAAAAATGTTTTTTATTTTGAAAGTATCCTTTTAATGAAGCCCCAGAGGAAAAAATGTTACATACAGGAGCCGCCTGCAAATGCGGTCCTGTATATGATGTTTCATTTTTGATCACGCCTTGTAAATCACCCTGTATATCTCACGATATGTGTATGTTGAGAGCTGTTGTGATCCTGCTAACGACGAAGCTGAAATGGTTCAAACTTCTCACTCCGAAATTAGAAACATTTTTTCTATCCATTCGGATGCCTCTTTTATATCCTTTCCAAGCGGCTCAGTTGGTTTCATCGCACCCTGTACAACTGTAATGTATTGTCTCAGGCTGATAGTTAGAATTACTGTACAATGAAGTACAATTATTGGTTATACAATTTCTGTTTTTTTCTCATGCTTCCATTAGCTTTTAATATACAACGGACATGTACTGAGTGAACACTATATCTGCTCCATTTATTAATCTTACCTGCACCATTTTGACGAAACTTTGTAGCTGACATACAGCTATACTAATAAACCTGGCAACGTTGTTACCCTATTCTCTTTCTTCCAGGCCCGCATGTCTTTCTCAAAATACAACGTGAACGCGTTGACTGACCCCCTGTCCGTTCTGCCCTCGCCCATTATTCGCCGCCCCAGGCAGAACAGCGTGTTTGTGGGCAGTCCCGGTGCATTGGCTGCCCTCACGATGGGCGCACCGCCGCCCAGACGGGTCAAGTCAGCCGTTGATATACAACATCTGCTCATCGCGTCAGATCGGATATCGCCGACTGGGAACAGGAAAGGTAGGCGATATATAAAATGGCGTCGTCAGTTTCAACTTTGTTTTTCATTTGACTGTACAACAGTGTAGGAAACTGTCAAAAATAATACAAAATGATTAAACATCAAAAGCACAGTCAGTGGCGCTAACAGGATTTCAGTCTGGGAGGGGTAAAATGGAAAGCAAATTCTCAGTGTGACGTACTGAAGTGTTATAATGATTTAACACATACAATTTTTTTAATTTGAATCATACGAAATCAAAGTTTAAATAAAACAAACCAAGTTCGAGTGATCTTCATATACAAGAGTTTCTCAAATTGTATGAATTAAAGGATTATTCATTTGGGTCAAAATTCCGACAAAACGTAAAACTCGTTGCCAAACCTTTGAATTGGAAGATACAAAACAAGACTTACGGCACTAACTGATAATGTTCCTCTACGCCACTCGTTCATAAAGAAACGCGAACTCTCCACTCAAAATCGAAAGGAAACTGAGGATCCTTTCATGAACGTGGTTAGCTATTAAGAGCATAAGCACCGTCTAGGGCGTGAAAAAGCGCTTTGATGTGAATGGAATTCAGTTTTCTTATGCAATAAAGGCTACAGTGGCTTGTGATGAAGTGCTTCTTGTTTTGAAATTTTGCATCAAAAGGCTTTTAGTAGTCAGCGTTATTGCATCTTATAAAGTAACTCAAATATACAGAGTAAATAGGATCTGTTTGCTCTCTGCCTGGGCGACAGTAACCACTGGTACACAACGCTGTTTCATGCTTTTTAGCAACCATCAGTACTATACTAAGTGACATATAAATCCGAACACCCAGTTTAAATGGTTTTATTTTTAATAAAAGTTGGTGAATGTATTTATCTTACTGTAAATAACAAGTGAAAAATGTTCAGCCTTATCAGTTGGACATTCCGGTTTTTATACTGCTCTTTTTAATTCACTAACGCTCTAAAAATGAATATTTCAGCCGCAGTAAAGAATCAACGTTGGCGGATTTTGGTTCTTGACATCCTTTACGATCGGTTACGATGCCTAGAGTACGGAGATCTGTACGATTTCGTCAACTTAGTGAGTTTGATAGGGGCCGTATAGTGGGACTTCAGGAAGCTGGACTTTCTTTTCGGGCAATTGCAGTTAGAGTGCAAAGAAGTGTGGACACTGTGGTTAGGTGTTGTCAGGCATGGCTTCGAGAAGGCCGTACGCAAAGAGCAAGGGGCACTGGACGCCGCCGTAGAACAACAGACCGTGAAGATCGCCGCCTAAGATTATTGGCCTTAAGGGACCGTTTCTCCACTACCAGGTCCATTGCTAATGAATGGTTTGCAGGACACGGAAGACCTATTGGCATGCGAAGTGTTTACCGACGAATGAGAAGTTTAGGCTTGTTTTCATACCGGCCACACTGGGTCCTCCCTTTAACTCGAGAACACCGACGTAATCGCCTTGAGTGGTACAGACAACGGTCACTCTGGGATCAGGAATGGAACAGTATTGTCTTTAGTGACGAGTCTTGATTTTGTTTAGGCATGCACGATGGTCGTGCCAGGATTAGAAGGCAACGTGGTGAAAGGAGGAATCCACAGTTTTTTGTTGAAAGACATGTTCATCACACTGTTGGAGTTATGGGGTGCTATAGCTCATGGTTCCAGGTCACCTTTAACCTTCATCAGAGGTAACATGAACGCGCAGCGTTATATCCACGAAGTTCTAGAACCCCATCTTTTACCCTATCTTGACACCCTGGCAGATCCAACTTTCCAACAAGATAATACCCGACCACATGTTGCAAGAGTCACAATAAACTTCTTTCAACATAATGATGTCACATTGTTACCATGGCCACCAAGATCTCCCGACTTATCCCTAATTGAGCACGTGTGGGATATGATGGGTAGGAGATTGCTCAGTTTGCAACATCCTCCTCAGACTCTAGAAGTACTTCGAGAGGAGCGTAGCACATCAGGGTGCATCCACACATTATTAAAGGTCAAAGGGCTTTAAAGCAGTGCAATCATTTTGAAATTTTTATCATTTATTTGTTATGCTTCATTAAGTACTTATACAAAATTTTATTAAAATAAAACCATTTAAACTGGGTGTTCGGATTTATATGTCACTTAGTATATATAGGTCTAGTCATTTGCAGACAGGTGCTGCCGTACTCATGAATCATTCTCCTTCTTAGACAGTCTGGTAAAAATACAGGTTAATTATGCTTTTATATCTAGGAAAGTTTCGCCTTAGTTATATTTTAGTAAATATGAGTTTTTTCATTAGCATTCTGTCAACGATGTCAACAGACAACGTCGGTATTCATGAAATTTTCATATTGTTAGTTTTTAAAAGAACTCTTAAAAGAGGTCACGTAAATTTATCACCGTTAAAATTCCTTCTTTCATATAATATGGACTGTAATCAGCCTGACGTCATAAAACCATGGTCTGAATAGGTGATAAATTGGATTTTACGATGCGGGGTAATATATAAAATTTTTCAATAAAGTCTCAGTCTCCACAAATTTAACAACTCTCTAATATAGTTGAGAATATGAACGGCGGAACTTCCAGCGTTAGAAACTCCATGAGTTCTTTACAACTAGCAACTGTCTGTTACTTTTAACGCATGACAATGCATATTGAACCGCACGGGTATTACGTATCTTGAAAAGTGAGGTTATATCGATTTTTTGACATTATACTATTTTTTGACATTTACTGGTTTTTTTTAACTGAGCCTTAGTTGTAAAATCTGCTTCAGGGATGGCATTACTGGATCTCTAAGCTGTAAGTTATATGTGTCGATGATAATTCGATTGGATTCTTGTCTCAAATACACTTAATCGAGATTCAAAGCTAGAAATTAGTTGCGTATCCACTTGTTCTTATCCATCCTGGAAATTACATTTGCAAATTTGCTGAATCTAAAAAATGAGAGAGATGAGAAATAATTATATTCATTGCACACTGTCGAATTACAAGTCATATACATGCTAACAGTAATTACACATAACGCGGACGCGATGCTGTTTTCCTGTAATTCTCCTCAAAGTTTTTCGTAATTTATAACTTTGAACATAACTTCTCTTCAGAAGCACAACACAAATAATTCGTCGGGCACAGCTAATAAATATCCTTCCTTGGCCGCATATTTAGAAATGATTTTCTTACGCTGATTTTATACACATGCAGACCAATACACATAATTATCCAGATTCGATCTTGCTATTCAACCAACTTTCTTCAATATGCGATTAAACCATATCGAAACAGACTGACAGAAATAATTAAAGAGGCTAAAATTAAATATCTCCAAGAAGAGATTGATATTCTACAAAATTGTTCGTCCAAAATGTGGCAATTTATCAATAAAATACAAGGCAAAAAACAAAACAACAAAGTTAGTACAATTAAAAAAGAAAATGGTGAACTAGTAAGTAATGATGTAGATATCGCAAATGAATTTTGTGAATATTTTTCAAAAATCGGGAAAAGCTTGTCAGAAAGCATAAAAAACGCGGAGAAATTAAATTATAGTAAGACCAGATTAGATCACTCCCTATATCTGGAACCGACCGAAATAAAAACAATAATCAATGAATTGAAATTAAGAAAATCTCCAGGTCTAGATAATATAACAGCATATACTCTCAAGAGAATAAATTCCAACATCTGCGGCATACTGTCATATTTGATAAATTCTTGTATGAATAAAGGAATATTCCCTACATGTTTAAAACACACTATGGTAAAACCATTATTTAAATCTGGAGAAAGAGAAAAACCCATCAACTATCGACCAGTTTCCATCTTAACCAATTCTTCTAAAATATTTGAAAAAGTGTTAAAAAACGATTCACCGAATTTGCAAAAAAATATAACTTAATAGCGGAACAGCAATATGGTTTTCAAGAAGGCAAATCTGCTCAAGATGCTATTGTAAAATTAACAAGTAAAATACCGCAAAGTTGGGGTTTTCCTTTACACGACGTGTAGATCTTGAAAACATAAGCAATTTTTCTTAGTACCATATACACCGGTGTCTTAAGGGAACCGAGATAAATGGCTCTGCAACATCAAAAATATCTGAATACCGTCCTGTAGCTGCGACCCGCGACATCCCCGAGTGGTACTAGGACACTAGCTCAACCCGACGACAGAACTGGGTCGGGGTCAGTGTGTCAGGTCAGGATGCAACCTTAAACCGACGGTTACGGTCACGCGTGTAGAGGTAAATGAACCCGTATAATCGATTGCGTTTCAAAAAACAGCAAGCACCAGAGACGTGGCTAGAGAAGTGCAAGTATCAAAAACTAAGTGTGGCAAACGCTGCGTGAAGAGGGGCTGTATCCGTTTCACGTCACTTCAACTTGACGATTTTCCAGCAAGAGTGCGGTTTTGTGAGTGGTTGTTGCATTAACATGACAATAATCCGGACTTTTTGAAGTGCATATTGGTGACAGACGAATCTACATTCACGCGTAATGGGGTGAATAACTTTCGCAACACTCATGTTTGGTCAGTAGAAAATCCGCACGCTGTCCGTCGGGCACATTTTCAACAAACATTTTCGGTGAATGTTTGGGCTGGCATGGTGAACGGTATGCTTATTGGACCATTTATTCTCCCAAATCGATTGGACGGGACGCAATACCTAGACTTTTTACGCAACATTTTGCCTTCTTTGTTAGAAGATGTGCCATTAAGTATAAGACAATCAATGTGGTTTCTGCACGATGGTGCACCGCCCGATTTTAGACGCGAAGTTCATGAGTTTTTGAATGAATTATTTCCGAATAGGTGGATCGGACGTAATGGACCCGTAGCGTGGCCTCCGCGATCTCCAGTGCATACGGTTGACGAACTTCGTCTCAGAATTGAACAAGCTGGTGCTTTCATTCGGGGGAGGGACTCCATTCTCAAAGCCTGCACCGATGCTTGGCTACGTCGTGCACGTACTTGTGTTTTGAATCAAACGGCGATAACTTCGAACAATACCTATAAAGTACGTTTACCTAAAAACTGAAAACGCGGCAACGCCGTCATATTTGTTACCTCTGTTCGTGGTCTGCACCACCGCCGGGGTCTGCTCGGTAGCGCATCAGCTGATTTCATTTTCTGTTGGAGCGGTATGATTTCGGGCAGAGACGTACTTAGCCCTTCTCGTCAACTGGAGAGTGAGTACTTTTTCCTTTATTTTTTTTCACTTGGTCGCCCTCGTTTCACTACACATTACCTTTGTTATTTCAAGGGTACTGGTTTCTGAAAAGGACAACCCCAACTTCGCGGACACCCTGTATACACGAATCTCGATATTGGCAAACCAACTGCATGTGTTTTTGTTGACTTGGCAAAGGCATTCGACTCTATTACTCATGAATCGCTTTAACAACTTTCGAAAACTTAGGTTTTTAACTATTACAACCCACTACTGCATAAAATGCACGCGCAACCAGAACAGTAGGGAGAGAAACACACTAATCCCGGGTACATGATCGCATATATGCGAGTATTCGTCGTCATCCGCCGTCACCCGTCGGCGGCAGCAAGAGTAAGAGTGGTCACTCACCACTAGATCGGTTTGATGTTATACGATTAAATATCAGGGAAGCTCGGACTTTATTTGAGAAATTATTAAATGGATATAATATACACCTTCGGAAAAACCATTATTATACATTATGATGAGGAAGAGAGATGGATATATACAAAAGTATGTAGGTGCGTGAAAGACACTCGATTGTAGGATCCTATCTGGCAGCGTCGGAGTGTAACGGACAACGGGGTAAAGTAGAAGAGTGATAAAAGAGAGATGGCAGAACGGGCGCTGGCGCCTGCCGCTTAGATGGATGCGCTCAACAAATGCGATTTGTTTCTCCCATTCGCAGAGTTGCTGATACCAATATGTCATATTTCTAAGAAATCTAAGTCTACCGAAATTTTGGGAAATAACCGTTGCGTGAGACGGAATTTGGCCGATCTGGGAAGCGTACCGCAAATAATTCAACAACCGCGCGTGCAGAATTATTATTATATATATATATTATCATTTGAAACTTTTCTTCTTTGTAAGATATTTTGGATTAAATAAAGACGCACCTTTCCTACACAAACCCAACCGCAGAGTGAGTCATGAATCCCTTATCGCACTTGACGACGGCACGCGCGTTAACGGTAGGAAATATGTACGAATAGCGATGAAAGTAGACGAGCCGATGCGCTGTTGCCAAGAAATGATTTCCTATGTATAACAATGGTTTTTCCCAAGGTGTATATATTACAGGGTGTTTCAGTTTATTGTTGCATAACTTTAAGATTCGATAGAACTTTTAAAATTAATGCATAAAGTCTATATAAACATGGGTCGAAAAATGCGTGGCTTCCGAAATACAGGGTGTTTAAATTTACTTTCTAAAATAATTTTTTTTAAATATTTCGAGCAATATTTGATGTATAACAGTGAAAATTGGTATACAAGGGTTTTTTGGTACGACAAAGGGAACCATGGGCATAGTTTTACTGTAGCCGCTAGAGGGTGCTCTCTACTGTACCTGTAGTGTATTAAAATGACACATTTTTCCTTAGTGCAATTTTTTGCTTCTTGAATAAAAAAACTGATTCTACGCACTTTTTAACATAAAAAAGCTCCCCTGTGAATTGTCGCTATAGTTAGCCGTTTTTGAGATATTTCGATTTTTAAGGTTCGATGCATTTTTAATTATTTATGATAAAATAACGTTAAAAAGTCAGTATCTCGATAATTTTTAGAAGTAGGCTGTGCCTGCAAATATTTTTGAAATTGAAAGCAAAATAAGGTTAAACGTCAGTTAGTTGACAGTTAGTTTTGTTGTCTGTTGAAACCTGAAACGTTTTTTTGCAATTGCGAATACACGAAATTTAGTTAATTTTACCTGTTTTTTTTTTTGTAAGTTTTATATAAATGCCATTTTTATTCTCCAATCAAGAGTTAGCGGATATTTATTTTTTGTATGGCTTTGTAAATGGAAACGCAGCAGAAGCAGCCAGAGAATACGCACGAAGATTTCCAAACAGACGACATCCAACTCGCTCAGTATTTGTAAGCCAAATAATTGAAAATGGTTTTGGAAATCTCCAAAGGGATCAAAACATAAATGTTCGTAAGCGCAGATTTACCCGTATGATTCTGCGTGAGTTTGATAGAGATCCGACCACAAGTGTTAGGAGAGTTTCTGGTGCCTTGGGAATTTCAGTAAACCATGTTTACCGTGTTCTTAGAAATGACCATAGACGACCTTACCATTTTCAACCTGTGCAAGGACTACAACCAGGGGACGGAGAACATTAGAATCACATTTTGTCAGGGATTCTTGATAGAACTGATAATGATAGGGAGTTTTTGAGTAACGTTTTATGGACCGATGAGTCATGCTTCACTAGACGTGGAGTAGTACATTTTCATAATCAACATATTTGGTCGCATGAAAATCCGCATGCAGTTCGGGACAGAAATTTTCAGCATGAATTTAGTGTGAACGTGTGGATTGGTATCTACCGTAATCGACTATTTGGACCCTACCTTTTGCCTGCAAGGTTAAATGCTGCGACCTTCTTGGAATTTTTAAAGGCTGAACATGCAAATATGTGGGATGATGTTATGTTAGATTTAAGAAGATGGCCCTGGTTCCAGCTTGATGGTTGTCCAGCTCATTATTCGAGAATAGTTAGAAACTGGCTGGACGAAAATTATCCAGAAAGATGGATCGGCCGTGGAGGACCAGTCGACTGGCCTCCACGATCCCCTGACCTAAATCCATTAGATTTCTTTGTGTGGGGATTTCTAAAAAAAAAGTGTACCAGACTCCCGTAAGCACAAGAGATATGCTAATAGACAGAATCAGCCTTATTTGAATAATGCGATCATTCGTAGATGTGAATTGTGTATTGAACAATTGGGTTTACATTTCGAGCAACTACTTTAGGTTTTGTATGTTTGTCCTAACTATCCAATAGCATTTTAGTTGTAAATAATTAATTTAATTTGTTAAAAATAATATTGGAAAATTAAACAAATTAATATTCTGTTTTTTTGCGTTTATTTGGAGTTAGGAATTGTTGCTGTGTTTAAAAACATAATCTAAACGATCATCTTAATTACTTGTAATGCCCAAATTGAAAATGTAAAAAAAAAATATTATTTTCCCATAAATAATTAAAAATGCATCGAACCTTAAAATCGAAGTATCTCAAAAACGGCTAACTATAACGAAAACTCACAGAAGAGCTGTTTTATGCAGAAAAGTGCGAAGAATCAGTTTTTTTATTCAAAAAGCAAAAAATTTTCGGTCATTTTAATACACTACAGGTACAGTAGAGAGCGCTCTCTAGCGGCTACAGTAAAACTATGCCCATGGTTCGTTTTTTCGTACCAAAAAATCCTTGTATACCAGTTTTCACTGATATACATCAAATATTGTTCGAAATATTTAAAAAAAACTATTTTAGAAAGTAAATTTAAACACCCTGTATTTCGGAAGCCACTCATTTTTCGACCCATATTTATATAGACTTTATGCATTAATTTTAAAAGTTCTTTCGAATCTTAAAGTTATGCAACAATAAACTGAAACATCCTGTATATATATATATATATATTTATTTATTTTGGGGGTGCACGTGCTTATGTGCTCCTACAGTGGAACCGCCACTGAGTCAGTTAGTGGTATACCACGTCAACATCGCGCTGTTTGCTATGATGTGTAGATGGCGAATACCAAAAATTGATTCAACAATGTGTTAAACAATCTAACAGTCTGTTAAGGAATGGTGATTACGGCCATTACATAATACCCGTGCCGATCTCTCGTAAGTTAGTGAATATTCATTTTGGTTGCAGGCTCCATAATCCCCATCTTTCCAGCCAGAGACCGTCGGCAGTCTTTGATCACCATCGAGCGTTCAGCAGTGACGAGGCATCGCCGGCCATCGACAGCTGTCGATCGGCCGTTTTGTCCGCCCTTGCACCGACCAAGGCGGTCTTCGTGCTTCGTCACTTCACCGGGCCCTCCCACACAACATATGGTAAGGTTTAGGCCAGATACATTTATTAATTGAATTTAAATTAAAACTACTCAAAATAAAATTTTGTATCTGTTATGTAAAATATACGTAACATTAAATAAACAGGTGTCTGACCAATAAGTGCCCGCATTGAAAAAAAAAATAAGAGGGATAAAATAAAAAAAAGTGAATAATAAAAAAAAAGTGTTTTACTTAAAATAGTACAATAAGCGAGTTCGTTTATTAATTATAATATAAACGTATGTTCTACAATAATTTCACTATTAGTTTGATAAAATTGCGCTTCTTACATGTTTAAGTTATCTAAAAATAGGCAAAAAATTAACGAATTTTAGTGTGTACCTATCCTTGAATTTTCAGAATAATTTAAAAAAATATATTTTCTATAAAGGGGGGTTCTTTAAAAAAATCAATGTGGGCACTTATTCCCAATGCGGGCATTTATTGGTCAGGCACCAATAAACATAAAATAAGCTATAAATAAAATAACATAAGCAATAAGTCAATATTTTTAGTGAGAAGGATGAACCTGATGCTTTAATAATAAATTATCAACATTTGGCGTCAATTTTGTAAGGGTTAATCTTAAATCTCCTCGGCTAATGATGTCCAGTCTGTTTCTTTTTTTCGTTAGGAGACTGGTAACAGCGCTTAACCCCCTTTCCACTAGGTATGACGATGGAAGGGAAATTAAAAATTTCCTCGCTATATTCCATAATACGGGATAAGTAACAGTATGTTGTTTTGCTGCCAGAATTGCTGATATCCGTTTTTAAACTGAACTGAAAGTTCTTCGTTTGTACTTAGTTCAGCCAGTTCCTCTTGTATTATGACATTCGTTTCTTCTATGTCACCATATGGATTAATTATCCACGGTGGTATTACCATAGTCAAAATATCCTCAAACCTCGATTCAAAATCTGAATAGAGGGCATTAAAATGTTGAACGTAAGTTGAAACGTCGTCTTCCTGACAGCTTGTCTGTGACAAATTGGGGAACTGAGAAAATTCGCCCCGTCCAATATTTTGCTTCATTGTAATTGCAAATTAACCATATTAAATTTTGTAAACAAATCTGTTAAATAGGCGATGTCTGTTTTCCTCTTCATTAAATTTTCTTTTAAAATTTTATCTTTTGTTTCCAGAAATTCTAAAATAGTCTCAAAAAGTGCAAAGAATCTTGTCAAACATTAGCCTTTCGACAGCCAGCGTACTTCAGTGTGAAGGGGTAATTGATGAAAGTGTTCGTCATTTTCTTCACACAACTGCGCAAATAACCGCGTATTCAACGCGTTGCTCCGGATTCGGTTTACTGCATCAATGACTAAATGAAGTGATTCATGCAATCTAACACTCAAATTTTTAGCAACTAAATGTTGTCGATGGATGACGCAATGTATAACACCCCTGACACATTTTGTTTTAAATAGCTTATAAATCCACGATAACGCCCAACCATGGCAGGTGCTCCATCTGTAGCTACTGATATTATATTTGATAAAGGAATTGCATTTTCAATGAAGTAATCCTTCAAAACATGAAATATTGATTCATCTTTAGTGTCGGTTATCAAAGTTCTTGCGAAGAGCAGTTCTTCGTAGATTTCTTGATTCATAATAAAACGAACATATGCCAATAATAATGCTGCATTATCAGGTAAAGTTGACTCGTCCAGTTGTATAGAGAAATGGCACGTTTGCAAATAATTACACAAGAAGCTTTCAATATCAGAACTCATTTCATCAATACGTCTTTCAACAGTATTGTTGCTTAAGGGAATTCTTTTAATGATATCAGATGCAGGTTTGCGTAAAACAGTTTTTAAAACCTCTTCAAAGTGAACTTCTCTCCGATAGTATGCGGTTTTCAGGATTTTGCTATAAGTAACGAGATATTGTAAGACGCCCGCAAACCATCATCATTTCTTTGTGACGTCGAAGCGAACATTCTGTCCAGTGTAGGTCTCTTCTGAAATTTATCTGTGAGTGTTTGAAACTATTTCAGATCTTTCTCTGTTTTATCAAGGTGGCATCTTCTCAGATGATGTTGCAGTTTAGATGGTTTCATAGCGTCATTGCCCAAAACTTTGCCTAAAAGGCACATAGGCGATTGTTTGTCCGGCAATGATGGAATGAAGCCAAATTTCAAATAATCAAAACTGTACTGTCTACATTTGTTTTTAGATTCGGACATGGCATCAGTCATCTGTGGGCAAAATTAAATTATTTAAATAAGACAGAAAATCCAGCAGCTGTATGTTAAAAATATTTTTTGATTTTTCCGAAAACATTCCATAATTCGAACATCTTCTTGCAACAATTAGCTCGAATTACGGAGATTGGACTGTAATTATATTACCGATTGCTAACACTTTTAAAAAGAAACTATTGAGGAGTACTCTTGTAATTTTGCATGATTGAATATTTAACTACTAATAGCTAAAGTCATGATTGGCGTAATTTATATATCTTTGCTAGCTACGAGTACAAAACTAAAATTTAATAAAAAATAAAGTACTTCCTTTTCTCCAACACTCTCAAACAAAATAACACTGACTCACTATAATTTCTTTCTGTTTATATTTTTTTAAATATTTTTTTAGTACTTTCCTTTTCAAGATTCAGGAAACGAATAAACGTATTTGTCCCACATTCGTATTTATAGAGTGACGAATTGAACAAGTCAGTGCAAGGTAGCGAAGCTCTGAGACTGCGACTCTCAGGTTTTTACAAGTTCAAAATGTATTGCGACCACAAAGCGAATACCAACATCCTACAACTTACACAATTTTATAAACATATATAATAAATTTTTTACTCCATAGGTACTTTTAAATAATGTATGTGTTTTGATATTATAGGATAGTATGATGTAAGTAAATAGGTACTATCAGTGTATGTGTTGAGATACACTATCGTGCACCCCCAGATTCATTTCATGGACCCCTAGGGGTCGATATAGACCACTTTGGGAATCAATGGTTTAGGCAAACAATCCAGATATGGCAGATGATTTCGGAAACTAATAGGCTAAAAGAAATTCTCTCCAGACATAGGCGTAGGACTTTTATCTGGCTATCTGGCGATGGCCTTGAAGTTGACTTTGGCATTGACCCTCAAATTCGTTGCAAGGTCAAATCATTAGTTTGATGAGATCCTATATTTTATCCTTGACCTCTAAGAAGGTCATCATTATTGCTCAACATCTAATGGACTATCGAAGGTTAGTTTTCAGATCATTTGAACATCAAATTCTCAAATTAGAGATTTGACCTTGACCACCATCAGAGGTAAAATTTTTTTGAGGTCATGGAATCACACGGATGTCCAATTTTTCGGCTTGGCAATTTTCTGTATCAACCCATTAGCTCCTAGCGCTACATTTATGTAACGAAAAATAGTCTTACAAATGCAACCCTTCTTACGCTTGACGTGAATGCTGGGCTACTAACATTTACACCCGCTCAAAAAGCGTTGATCTAGGAGTTTTAATTAGTTGTGTTTATCAAGCATCGTGTTGTTGTTTCCAAATATCGCTCCGCCAAATTTTGTGAGTGCAAGAATAGGCATCAAAAATGGACTTCATCGATAAGGAGTAAGTATAGTATAGTATAAATTTGATAGAATTGCAAAAGTAGCATCTGTAGGTGTGGTGTAAAGTATTGTGCCATTACCACGAGAACTTGTTTGTTTTATACTTGTGTTAGTAAACCATCAACTTTGCTGTTATTGTACTTTTTTACGCAACAGCATTTTTTTCAGGGGACTTAAGGGTATCCTACAGAAGGGGGTGACTGTTCATCTATATATAGTCTTTGGAGAAAATGTTGACTTGGACAACCCTGTAGAGGCAATTTATATTGCGCCACCGGAACCTGCTGTCCTGACTGATGAAGATTCTGGAGACGAGGACGAAGGAGGGGACCTAGACCATTTGAGCAAACGTCAGTTACTTGCAGAAGCTGGAGGAGTGACGTTAGAAGATGCTCATCCCGAACATACAGACTCTAGTGGGGATGGTTCTTCATCAAAAAAGGATTCAACTCCAGCTGATATGGTATACCCAAACACATCTGATACTCGGGAGTGGATTTCGGGAGACTTCACTTACAACAAACAGCCATTTCCTGAAGCAGATTACTCAGCATTTGAAAACAAATCAGTTGTAGATATATTTGAAATGTTTATAGACGACGAGGTAAAACTATTCCTAGTGCAAGAAACTAACAATATGCCCTTTTCAAAAACCTACCGGACCCAAGAGTGTCTCAAGAGGAAATGAGATGTTTCATCGGTATATTACTTATTAGCGGTTATAACGATCTGCCCAGTAAGCGAATGTACTGGGAGCAAAGCCTTGACACTAGAAATGAACTTGTCTATAATTCTATGAGGCGTAACCGATTTGATCAAATTTTGAGGTTTCTACATTTGGCATCTAATGAGAATATTGACAAGAATGCCAAACTTCGGAAGCTCAGACCGTTTATAAACAAAATAAGGGACAGGTTGTAGAAAGTATTTTGTTCCAGAAGAGGATCTATCATTTGACGAGAGCATGGTCAAATATTAGGGTAAACATAGCTGTAAGCAGTTTTTGAGAGACAAGCCTATAAGATTCGGCTATAAGGTTTGAACACCACAATGGGCTATTTGATCGATTTTGAAATATACCAAGGAAAATCGGTTACACCTGAGCATAATAGAAAGGAACTTCGGAAAAGCGGCAGCACCTTTGGTGAAAATGCTAGAAGGGCTACCCGATAATATAAAGTCCTTTCCATTCTCATTTTATTTTGATAATTTATTCACTTCCTTTAGCTTGTTGTCGTACCTGCGCTTGAAAGGATATGGAGGAACAGGGACTATGAGAGATAACCGTATTATTGCTGTCCGTTATTGTATAAGAAACATCTGCAGAAAAGGAAAGGGGGGTATTTTGAAAATGTAATCAGTAGGACTGATGGTATACTAGTAGCAAAATGGGTCGACAATTGTGTTGTTTCTGTTGCTACAAACAGATATGGTGTTACGCCTGCGACAAGCGTCAAACGATATTCGCAGAAGGAAAAGAAGCACATACAAGTAAGTCGACCTTGCTGAGTATAACAAAAAAATGGGTGGTACTGATCGGATGGATCAAAACATTGCTCAATACAGGGTTCAAATCAGAAACAGGAAATGGTACTGGTCGCTATTTACCTGGCTTGTTGATGTTGCAGTCAACAATGCATGGTGTTTATAGAGAAAATCGAACAAATCTCAAATCCCTCAAATAAACCTTAGAAGGACCGTCGTACAACTATATCTGAAGAAGTATTCACTAGCACCTAAAGGCGGTGGAAGAGTTGCATCGCCATCTTCCTATGTACAAGCGGTGGTCGATGACGTTAGATATGATAGAATGGATCACCTTGTGGAAAAAAATTCCTAACGACAAAAGAAGACGTTGTGCCGGGAACCTTTGCAAGAGCTCAACGAGGACTCAATGTAAAAAGTGTAACGTAGGCCTGTACATCGACTGTTTTTGTTTCTACCACACAAAACGGTTTATAAGCTGACCATCTGGATTGCGTTTATTTGAATAAATATACTAAGTGACATATAAATCCGAACACCCAGTTTAAATGGTTTTATTTTAATAAAATTTTGTATTAGTACTTAATGAAGCATAACATATCAAAATGATTGCACTGCTTTAAAGCCCTTTGACCTTTAATAATGTGTGGATGGACCCTGATGTGGTACGCATTCTCCAACGCGCCTAGGCATGCTTCTGATCAGGTGGTCAATGTCCTCCTGTGATATCTCATTCCAGGCAACCACCAACTCCTCTCGAAGTGCTTCTAGAGTCTGAGGAGGACGTTGCAAATTGAGCAATCCCCTACCCATCATATCCCACACGTGCTCAATTGGGGATAAGTCGGGAGATCTTGGTGGCCACGGTAACAATGTGACATCTTTATGTTGAAAGAAGTCTATTGTGACTCTTGCAACATGTAGTCGGGCATTATCTTGTTGGAAAGTTGGATCTGCCAGGGTGTCAAGATAGGGTAAAAGATGGGGTTCTAGAACTTCGTGGATATATCGCTGCGCGTTTATGTTACCTCTGATGAAGATTAAAGGTGACCTGGAACCATAAGCTATAGCACCCCAAATCATAACTCCAACAGTGTGATGAACATGTCTTTCATCAAGAAACTGTGGATTCCTCCTTTCACCACGTCGCCTTCTAACCCTGGCACGACCATCGTGCATACCTAAACAAAATCGAGACTCGTCACTAAAGACAATACTGTTCCATTCCTGATCCCAGAGTGGACCGTTGTCTGCACCACTCAAGGCGATTACGTCGGTGTTCTCGAGTTAAAGGGATTACCCAGTGTGGCCGGTATGAAAACAAGCCAAAACTTCTCATTCGTCGGTAAACACTTCGCATGCCAATAGGTCTTCCGTGTTCTGCAAACCATTCATTTGCAATGGACCTGGTAGTGGAGAAACGGTCCCTTAAGGCCAATAATCTTAGGCGGCGATCTTCACGGTCTGTTGTTCTACGGCGGCGTCCAGTGCCCCTTGCTCTTTGCGTACGGCCTTCTCGAAGCCATGCCTGATAACACCTAACCACAGTGTCTACACTTCTTTGCACTCAAACTGCAATTGCCCGAAAAGAAAGTCCAGCTTCCCGAAGTCCCACTATACGGCCCCTATCAAACTCACTAAGTTGACGAAATCGTACAGGTCTTCCGAACTCTAGGCATCGTAACTGATCGTAAAGGATGTCAAGAACCAAAATCCGCCAACGTTGATTCTTTACTGCGGCTGAAATATTCATTTTAGAGCGATAGTGAATTAAAAAAAAGCAGTATAAAAACCGGAATATCCAACTGATAAGGCTGAAATTTTGTTCAATTGTTATTTACGGTAAGATAAATACATTCACCAACTTTTATTAAAATAAAACCATTTAAACTGGGTGTTCGAATATATATGTCACTTAGTATATATATGTAACACCCTATACTGAGCGATCTGAGAATCCTATCGCATAAATTCCTGCCATTTCATAATCCAGTTTGATATATTGCCCAAAGAAAACCGGTTTTGTGAACAAAACTGAAAAATGTTAATTTGGGTACTACACTAATGGGTTAAAAATATATGGTCTCATTTGGAAAATGGACCTGAATGATGTTAATTAAACCCAAATTCAAGGTCACCGTCGAATTATCTGGAAGAAAATTCAAAGCGTATGCTAAGGTGTAGTTGATTAGCTTTTACACTCCCACGCGGGATATTACACGGTTTTATTAAGTATCAAACTACTCTATATACTTTCCCTCTGCTTGATCCAAATAATTTGTATCTTCAGGGACAGCAAAAATCCCAACGCATCACTGCTGACTTCTATAACACTGATCAACAGCCAAAAAATATGCTAAATAAAATCAACAAAATATTACTATTTTAATGTGCTAAAACCGGAATGAAACTTATTTTTTCAATATTAGTTCAAATTTTAGAGATACGGTAATTATATGTATTCCTGCTGTGACAGTGTTAATATACTGTAATTCACAAGAATGCACGTGCTACATTTTTATATTCGGCAAGGAAAGATGATGTAATCGACATGATTGTGTTACGTTATACATACGTGTACATTATATTGTTTTATATTAGCCATTTTTTCCTCAGTTGGCTGACAGCGTTCATGCAAGATGTCTCGAAAGTGTGTGAACAATCCAGATCAGTTTTATTACGTGTGTGGTGATGTGACTTTTGCGTTTCAGAGACGGTCTATTACTCCACTAATAACAAAGGCATATTAGCTTTATTTCGGTTGTAAACTAGGTGATCAAGACAAACAGTGGGCACCCCACATCTGCTGTAATACATGTGCTTCAAGTCTGAGGAGCTGGTTAAATGGCAAAAAACGGTCTATGCGCTTTGCTGTCCCAATGGTTTGGAGAGAGCCTACAAATCATATTAATGATTGTTAGTGTGTTGGACAAGCCAAAAATCGGTTATTAACTACCCAAATATACCATCTGCGATGAGACCTGTGCCTCACAGTGACGAAAATCCTATTCCAAAACCCCCAGAATCCTACACTTGCGAATCAGAAAACGAATCAGATCATGGCGATCGAGTGATTCGTCAGAAAGAAGATACGCCATCAACGTCAAGAGATCCTGATTTTATACCGAGCACGTCATGCCACCAACCGCACAAAATAACACAGTCAGAATTAAATGATCTTTGTAACAGATTTAGAACTTCCAAAATGTAAGGCAGAGTTACTTGGATCAAGACTGCAGCAGTACAACTTGTTAGAAGACGATGTTTCGGTATGTGTTTTTCGTAAACGCCACAAAGACTTAGAACCATTTTTCAATATGGAGAATAACTTGGTTTTCTGCAGTAACATTAACGGCTTACTGGCGGCTTTAAATATAAGCTATAACCCAGAAGAATGGAGATTGTTTATAGACAGTTCAACATTGAGTTTAAAGGCAGTGTTATTGCATATTGGAAATATTTTACCATCTCTTCCTGTAGGGTATGCAGTTCACATGAATGAACAAGAATCATATGACGATATGAAGTACCTATTGACATGCATAAAATACGATGAGCACCAATGGCATATTTGTGGCGATTTGAAAGTTGTTGCAATGTTACTTGGGCTGCAGCTAGGCTACACAAAGTTTTGCTGTTTTTTGTGTGAATGGGACAGTCGGGCAAAGGCACTTCATTATACCAGACAAAACTGGCCTGTTCGTCAATTCCTAGAGCCAGGTCAAAAAAAATGTACAGCATATGCCATTAGTAGATTCGAAAAAAAAATGTATTACCACCACTGCATATCAAGTTGGGCCTAATGAGAAACTTTGTCAAGGCATTAGATAGAGATGGGTCAGCTTTTCAATACCTGCGTCAGAAATTTCCAAGACTAAGTGAGGCAAAGGTTAAAGAAGGCATTTTTGTTGGGCCACAGATTCGAGATATTCTGAAAGATACACAGTTTGAAAACACTTTAACAGGTATTGAAAAACTGCTTGGAATGATTTCCGTCTGATGGTCACTAATTTCTTGGGAAATAGAAAAGCTGACAAACTATAAAACCCTTGTCAAAAATATGCTGTCATCGTATCAAAAGATGGACTGTAATATGTCACTCACACCTGGACTTTTTCCTGACAATTGCGGAGCCGTAAGCGATGAGCACAGCGAACGTTTTCATCAGGATATTTCAACAATGGAAAAAAGGTACCAGGGAAAGTGGAATCCTTCCATGCTTGCAGACTACTGTTGGACTCTTGGTAGAGATGCTCCAGAAACGATCCATAAAAGAACAGCAAAAAGACAGCGCATATAGTGATTCTTATAAGTATATGAATCTTGTTACTTTTTTTAATATATCCTTAAAAATAAAAAGTTTTTTTTCTAAACCGCAACTAATTTTTTTATTTCATTGTTTTTGGATTCAGCGCCCCAAAATTAACAAAGAAGTGCACTTTTCCCACAAGATACAATTAAAAAACTAAATTTGTTGTCAGTGTAATCTGTCAAAGAAAACTTATTCGGGAAGCCTAAACCTATACTCTTACTTGGTCGTTTTTGATTGCTTAATGAACCTATAATCAGAAATACTGTATTTTGAAAATGTTGGAACCATGACTCTGGATCGGGGACAACTAACAGTAACACTGTACTGGAAGACGAGTGTTAGTGTTAGTGTATGAAATTGGTAATAAAAAACAACAACAAAAAAGATTATTTGAAACTTTGGCCGATGAAATTGACTGTCAATACGGGGAACTACTTCCTCACTTTGAAGTACGATGGTTAAGTAGGCGACGAGTGTTGAAACGTTTTAATGATATCATATCTGCCATAGTTCAATTTTCCAAACAACGTGATGAACCGATTCCGGAGAACATTCAATCTGGCTTAGAGATTTTGGTTTTTTGTGGATATTATAGAAAAATTAAATGAACTTAATTTGCAACTTGGGGGAGACTTGTGATGTAAAAGCGTTAGTCAAAAAGCTTGAGCTTTGGGAACAAAACTTAATCGATGGCGATACCAGGCATTTTCCTGTCCTTTCAGAAAATATATCTCAATGCCCATTAGAACCATAAGACAGTAAATATCATGTAGAAATAGACTTAACTTGAAATTTATTGAAGGATTTCAACGAAATTGCTGTACTGACGCGATTTGTTGTTTCACCCTCCATCGAAATTGATATCCAACAGTTTCCAACTTCTGTTACGCAAAATTTTAGCGAAGTCATCGCTGCGACAGAAATGGAAGTGATTGCGTTTCAAAATGATATACCTAGCTTTAAATCATCAGTCTCAAATACAAAATGTAGCATATCTGGCCTTCATTAAGTAAAGATAAAAATTGTGAAAGTGAAAGCGTTAT